CACAAGACTGAACCCCAAATAGCTCCTGATGATTGGGCCAGCAAGTTGCACGATAGCACGCTGCCATTACTGTGTTAGTGTGTGTGTGTGAATGGGTGAATGAGGCAAAAATGTAAAGCACTTTGGATAAAGGTGTACTACTGTATATAAATGCAGTCCATTTTATTATTACTGAACACAAGGTACAGCTGAGGATGATGTGAACATCACTTTTTTCAGGTATTTGGTCATAAACCATTAGACTAGTTAAAAATTTGACCTGTCAATGATACTATTATGCAAAGTCATGGGTTCCGTGTGGTTGGTCATCCTGAGAGGAACATGGACGTATGTACAAAATGTCATGTCAACCCATTTATTGTTGTGGAGACATTTCAATAAAAAACGAAACTGTCAACCTCATGGTGGTGCTAGATTGAAAAAATTACCAAAATAATTCATGTTGATGCTCTCTGTACCAAAGTTTGTACAAAACTTAAGTTTGCAAACCCAATGATCGTTAGGTTTCGGGCTCAATAACCATGAATGGGTGAATCGTGACATGTTTCATCCATGATGCACCAAGGTTTTGAAGAATCTTGAGTTGTTGAGATGCTGGCAGTAGGCCAGTGTAGGCCATGTTATGTTTCAACTCTGGCCAGTAGAGACATGGCATTTGACTTGTTAATTTGTTCTCCAAACATGTACCGCTGTTATGCCATACTGACTATAAACTTGATCTCATTAAACACATTTTACACCAGGAATGGGGGAAACCTTGTACAAACTGCTATTGCTCATCTGAATTGTTGAGAAATATCCAAATCAATTAAGGTAAAGATTTCTTCTTTAACATCACTATCATCGTGTCAGTATTTACTCAGTATGATGTGAGTCAGAGTAAAAAACTAACATCAGCATGTCAATTAACACATGCCTACAGGACTCTCTGTTGATGGGTCTTTATTACCAAGGTGGTATATTGACTGTGAACTAAGTAATTGACTTTGGTCAATCCAGCAGTCAAAGAGTATGCCTGGGAGGCAATAGATATGTGGATGACTGGATTTTAAAATATTGGATATTGATGTAAGAGAGACAATGAGCAATATATTTCTACTGTGGCTTCATCCATATTGAGTTGCTTTGAGCAGAACAGAAACATGTGCATAATGTTTAGTGCTGTAACCACTAATTCCACATGTTAAGTTAAACTGTGCAATAAGATGATGTAGGTCATGCATTAGCAATGGCATTATTTGTTTTTGGCAGCACGGTGGAGTACGTTTGAAATTCATGCCCTCACTGAATAGTACAAAAGACCTGTTTTCACTAAACTGACTCCTGAGTTAAATAAAACACATTTTTTTCTTAACATTTTATAATGAAATGCATTAATAATGTGTCCCAGGGTCATGATCCATTTTCTACATTTTAAAGGCAACAGAAAATGTCATCTGCACAAAATGGGCAATACTAGAGATACAGGATTTTTAACAGGAGACAGACAAAATGCAATCATTTTTTCCCCCAAGTGTATCAACAGTGCCAGAAAATGTAGTTTATTTGTTGTCATGTAAAACAAAGATTGTTTGGTTGTTGCTTGCTTGATTGATTGCTTGAAGCTTTCCTTTAATTCCTCGCAATCCATGTCTTTGAAAAAATCCTCTCAAGGACAAATATGGATTCAAAGCAGAATTTCATCTCAAATAGACTTCTTGTATGGCATGTTATCCTTTAGATACTGTAAAGCTTGTTTTTTTGTCATTCTTGATTCTCTGATGTGCACTGCTTGTCTGCTAGGCACCACAAACTAATACACCTGTTTGTTTAATTTATTTTATTTGTTTTGATTCATCAGCCTATGGCTAGGCTCACACAAAAACACAAGAGCCATTTGGACTCTTCCTTTTACGTGAGCCATATGTCGTTGGACTTTTGAACACCTGGAAGAGCCCCATGCAAACCTGCTGGAGGAAACACATAAAGAAGGACCAGGAACACACTTTGTCACAGTTGCCTTCTTTTAAAAAATAATCAAAGAAGTAATGTCCTGAAGGACTATGATAAGAATGAATATATTCATTTTGGTATCATTGTTGATATTGGAGAGCATATAAGATTATGCAACACTTTGAGCATCACACTGTTCTCCTATTGCTTGCTTTTCGGTGCCTTGTTTCGTATGAAAAGCATCTTATTCACTTGATTTTTTTACTATGATTACTGATATGGATAACTGATTAATTAAAAAGTTGGATACTCCTAATTAATGTTTTCTGAGAGCCACTGATGTTAGAGGTTGACCATTAACGGTGTCACATGGAGTTCAGTGAGACACGTACCTTTAAAAGATGATTTTAAACACCCAGCAGCCCATTGTACAAGGAAAATATTCCCACAGGGAGTATGTGTTGTGTGTAATTGTCTGCATGTGTGTTGAAGTGTGTGTCATGATGTAAGCAGAACACAAAATGCATTAGCCTCATTTAGTAAGAAAAAATCCACCACAACCTTCAGCCACATTTACATACAGTAAAAAGCCTACTCACAGAAGATGGACTGAAGAAGGATGACAACACACTGCTAAGAGGCAGCAGAGGGAATCATTATCGAATTCAGTGAATTTTCATAAATAAGTAAGAGAACTGAGTCAATGAACTCCTTTATGAGACATTTTGTTCAGAATTTTACATCTGCAGTTATTTCAAGCTAAAAGTAAACTGCAATGAATCACCATTACCCAGCGAACAAGCAAATTAATGTACAGATGGCTTAAACCTGGTCTACCAAGAAAAGTTTGGGAAGTTACTTTAGATGAGTTTACCGGCACTGCATCCTGCACACCTGGTTAGCTGGCTCTTGTTTAAAGTACAAAGTACATTGGATCTAGTATAGCACCAAACTGTCCATATTCCAGCATTGCCAAAGTGTTATAATAAATTGCAACCAGATGAAACTATATGTTAATGTTTCTGTGGAAGTCTAACCACGACAAACATTCAACATGCGTCTTACAAGACTGAAAGCATCATTAAGGTTATAAATAAACTGATGATGGTCATTTTTATTTGCTAGACAATTTGAAAATGAAAAACATTTTTCTAAAGATACATTAAATAGTGAGTAAGCCTTGGCTATCCCTATGTGTATTTGCAGCATATTACCAATGTACAGACAATGATACTGTATTTCTGAGGTAATCAGAGGCTTTCCAACTACACACAGTAGTTAAAGTCTGGTGCAAATGTTCACATTTAGTATCATTGGCACACATCATTATTATTATGAGGATTATGACAAACCTAACAAAACCTGTTTAAAGGATGTTTATTTGGCTAAATTTCAGTTTCAAGAATAAAATGCCAGAAAATATCCCACGATATAAAACACATACCTTTCTGATAAGTGGCATAAACATGAATGTGAAATGGAGGTCAGGTGAAAGAGTTGCAGTCTGCAGAACTGGGTAATTTTACTAATTAGCACACTTTCATCCAGAGAGAAGTAACTAATCAGTGTCATCTCCTGGTGTGGTGTTTGTTTTCAGCACTGCCTGCAGACTCTGTGCTCTCAGTGGCACATGGTGCCAGAGCAGTGAGGAAGGAGCCAGTTCTGCTCTCCACCATGCTGCCTGCATGTAGCCTAGTTTGATTTCAGCACCATGGACAGAGTCCGGCTGTGCGATGGGGGAACTAGACGCTGGCAGCATGAGGTTTAAAAACGACGGTGCTGTGCTGTTTTGCATTTAAAGTGTGTTACATGCCATTCTCTCTTACACCAGTGATTAACCCCCCAGATATACGCGTGTCTGTATATGAGGGCAGATTCACAAAAGATGTACAAGTATAAAGAGTTGGCTATTTCGACCATAAAATCAACTTTAAATGAAGATTATGGGTCATCCATGTGTCTTACCTAAAGCTGACACAGTCCTCAGTCTTATTTAAAGTAAATTGGCACCCTGTCTGTATAGGAACGTGTCATATAAAATGTAAAAAATGTTGAACTCGTAATTTTTTCCAGCCTATTTGATTTACTCGTGTGCTCTGCAGCAGACCGGGAAAACCCCTCAGAGATGGACAGACCGCATCTTTCACTGGGACAAGCCGTGAAGCATCCCTTTCGTTTTGCCATCTGGAAAAATGAAACTGTGCTCTCTCCACCGTGTAACTACGCGATCCCAGACCGTCTGTCAGTTTTACCGACCTGCTACCGGCAGGCTAGATAAAACGACTCTGAATGGGATACGGCTGTAACGTAATGCTCTCACATTATGTACCCCAGGCTGTGATTCTTCTCCGCCGTTTTATTTTCTTATTGTAAAAGCTACACAAAACCTTTTTTTTTTCTGGCTCTTGTCATTCTCTGAATGATCGAGCTTTTCTTTCCTTCTTTTTATTTTTTGTTTTGCCTTTCCGTGGCCAGATGTTTGTGCTCATGAGGTCGTGACGTTAAACATCCACAACGATGATGTTAGCGGGTCCCCGGGGCGCCATCAGCGTCCCGCAGCTGTGGGCGGCCTGAGGTTTCCCTCCGTCAGTTGGCTGCTACCTTGGTGGGACGTGCCGAGGCTGGTTTGGCCGCGGAAGTGGACCGGTGCGTTAGGATTGATTGGGTTTGTAGTGCAATTAGTTAGGCGCAGACAGAGCTCCCTTCACCTAAAGCACAACACATCAGCAATCTTCATTTGCCATTTCCCCCCTTTTCACTTGAAACACTTTTCTTGCGAAGTAGTGCGCGCAAAACACGCACGCACACTCATTTGGATCGCTTTTTTTTCTCCCTCCCCTCCTTTTTGGCTTTTCCCTACATGAACCCCGACCAGACCTTATCAATAGGCTACAGCTATGAGATTCAGTGTTACAGCAAGTTAAAGAAGGCAGACAGGGAAGGGAAGAGTGGGAGATGGAGAGGAGGAGAGGGGTAATGAGAGAGAGATAGACCATCTGAGTGAGCGAGAGAAAAGGAGGGTGTATGGGTGAGGGAGAGAGAGAGAGAGAGAGAGAGAGAGAGAGAGAGAGAGAGAGAGGAGGGCGCGCATGTCCAGTTCCTCCATGCAGACTGTTCTCCCAGCTCGCCAATCATTCTAGCGAGTTTCCCCACTCTTTCTCTCTATCCCCGTCTTTACATGTGCACCGGACGCACAGCTCTCTCCCGAGCGGACACTGCAGGGGAAGAAACGAGCGAGCCCACCATGGAATAGGAATACTGCTGGACCAAACGGGGGAAAGAACTCTCTCATCTTTCTTCTTTTTTTCCCCTTTTTTCTGACGCCTTTCCCCCTCTCTCGCATCTCCCCCCTCTCTCCCTCTCTCTCGATGTCTCTCAACAGTTTCTGAAGGGATTGAAGGAAAGAAAAATGAGGATTATTATTTTTTCTTGGCACTTTCTCGGGGTGTATTCCGCCCTTTGGGGGCTGGCGACGGGGGCTTTCCCCAGCTCAGTGCAGATAGGTGAGTTGGAGGATTGCTGATTTTACGCACGGACACTCAGATCTGATACACTACACTGAATACTAGTTGATTTTTAGCGGACAGCAGTCACCAAGGAAAGGGGGGGGGCGCACCGGGACCCTCCGAAAACACAAAATCACTGTAAAAACTCTAGAAATTCCCGATGGAACAAGCGAACATACAAGTATAGAAACAAATTTCCTTCTGGTGCATCTTTTACTTTTTTTTCATCCAAGATATTTTGTGCTAAGCGGAGATTTGTGTGTCTTCTCAGCTGTGGCTCAAATGCTTTAGAAATGCACACACACTCTTTCACTCTATTTATCCTTTTCCTGTTTTTGCTTCTATTTTAAAGGCTGTTCTGGGCTCATGAATGTTTCAGCGAGCTTTGTTCCCTTCTAGTCTTCTTCACTGTTTCTGTTTAGACACTGCAGTATTCTCTCTCTCTCTCTCTCTCTCTCTCTCTTTCTCTCTCTCTCTCGCTCCCCCTCTCTGCCCTCTCCCAGTTACCCTCATGTCAGTGCGGGATAAGCCTGGCTTTCAACCTGTACTGTAGATCAGAGATAAAGTTGACTAAATCTGAATCATCATTGACTTCCTCAGTGCATAAAAGGACCACACATGCATGGATTCCCTCTTGCCTCTCTCTCTCTCTCTCTCTCTCTCTCTCTCTCTCTCTCTCTCTCTCTACACACACACACACACACACACACACACACACACACACACACACACACAAACACACATATTCATACACATGCACTTCAGCCAGATGAGGAGTCCAGATATGTCTCAACATGACACATTATTGCTCCGGTTTCTCGAAGAAATCTCACAAACATTCTCATCTGTGTCAGTTTCTGTCTGTGTCACACAAACACACACATTCAAATAGAAACTGTGTGCTTCCACTGACATTACACTTGTGTGCAATGCAGAGATATGCAAATGACTCCTTAAGTGAACTGAAGAGCCCAGTGAATGATCCTGAATGTATATTTTGAGTTTTTAGGAGGAAGGTCGGCAGGAGAGAAGGAAGGGGCGCATATGTGTGCTTCTGCATGATCACGTATGCTTCATACAGTATGTATGTGCATGCATGCATGACTACGTGCGCATGTATGCTTCCAAATTTAAAAGTGTGCACCCACATTCTGTCCAAATATGTGAACGCATACTTGCAGCTGTGTGCACAGCATACAGCAAGTGTGCATTTTTATGACTGCATGAGCAAATTGTAAATGTGCACATGCAGGCTTGAAAACCTGTGCAAATATGTGTGTGCGCCAAGCAGAAAATATTTAGCGTATTAAGTTTATTGGCAGCTGTAGGGAGACAGAGTCAAGGAGCTGAATCTCATTATAGGACCTCCCAGCTGCCCCCCACAAGGAGTGATGCAGTGCATTCATTATCACACACATGCCTGTAGGCATGTGTGTGTGCTTGCATGTATGTATGTGTGTGTGTGTGTGTGTGTTCTGAGGGGGAATTCTACCCTAAAACAGAAATCACACTGGAAAGTTTAATGTCAATGACACCAAATGAATTATTCTGTTGCGAAATGTGCTTTGCGCATACTGTTTTGTCTTTGTGCATACATGTGTGTTTAGTGTCTGGCTTTGGTTACTACTGACAGGCATAATAAGAAATTCTGAGAAACACAGAGAAAGAAAAAATGTAAGATGAGGCCAACTTTTGGCACGAATGAGACACACACGTTATGTAGTGACGATTGCTTCGTTCAATATGCTCTGCCTCCCGACTCCTCCCCTGTCATCTTTTCTTCCTTCCTTCTCTCTCTCTCTCTCTCTCTCCCGATGCGATGTAAAGGCTGCACAGTCTGCCAGTGTAATCCAATTCAGTTAAGCTGAGTCTAATTCAGTGAAACTTAAGTCACATCAGTTCATTTCAGTTCAGTTAAACCCACTGTTTGACGCAATGTAGAAATAATCTATAGAACTATCATTACAAACACATTTATATCAGTGATATCCACAGCAATGCAACCAAACAAGTTCTGTTCAGGTATTGAACATATATTAGGCACTGCTGTCTCTATTTTTTTTACTCCATATTGTCAGCTTTACTGTTTCTCATCATCTCTTCTCTCCCATCTAATTCTTCATCTTGTCAGATGGGTCATATTGAGGGATACTCTCATTTTTAAAGGCCAACTGACACTTAGCACTCGCCTCCCTCTCCCTTTCTTTTTGCATGGCCCAGGCTCCGTCTTTATTTAGCTGACACTTTCTGATCTGGTTTTCTTTTATGTCCTCTTCAACTCATTATCCTTTGACTGCCTTCTGCCCCTTAGTTGTCTCTCTTTTCTTCTCCTCCCACTCTGTCCCTTCTCTGTCTTTCTCTGATTTCATCAATGAAATGTGCAGTGTGGGTATCCGTGAGTGTGTTTCTACTCATGTTTCTGTGTGTTTGTGAGTGCTGAAAGACAAATTACCTTTTGTAACAAAGCTAATGAAGATCTTGGCTTTCTTCTCTCCCTCCCCTCCTCGGTTTTCTCTGCCCTCCCTCCCTATCTATCTTTCCATCCCCACATTTCTCTCCTTCTTCCTGTCTCTCCCTCTCTCACCACACTCCTATGCGACCCCCTCCCGCCCTACAATAACTCACTTCCTTTCCTCTCCATCATGTTCTTCTCCTTGCCCTCTCTCTCTGTCACTCTCTGTAGGGGGGTTGTTCATTAGGAATACTGATCAGGAGTATACAGCGTTTCGACTAGCTATCTTCCTTCACAACACCAGCCCTAATGCTACAGAAGCTCCCTTTAACCTGGTCCCACATGTCGACAATATAGAGACCGCCAACAGCTTCGCCGTCACCAATGCATGTAAGTATTCAAATGTGTGTGAGTGAAAATGAAGCTGCAACAAATGCATGCAAGTATTTTCTTTCTTTCTCTCCATCTCTATTTGACTTCATTTATCTCTCTCCGTGTTTGTTTTTCAGTCTCTATCTCCTCACCACACTGTTGGATAAAGCCAGGTTTAATTTGGAACTCAAGTTGTTTAAAGGATCAGTTCATTATCTTTGTCATGTACAATACAGCAGCTGAGTGGTGTTTGGTGAACATGGTCTTTTTTTTCCCACAGTTGTTGAACACATTTTAAAATGCTGATTTTAGACACTGTGAAGAACATTTTGGTTAATTTGGCCAACAATTATAGACAATACTGTTTTTTTTCATCATTCATCATACCTTTTCCCCTCTGTGTGTTACTCACATTTATTCCCTCTTAGCACCATCCCATCTGCAAAAAAAGGTAACATCACCTATCACAATTACAGCTTATTGCAACTATAGTGAAGAAAATGGGTCTTTTGTGTTCAGAACAGAGAGGAACAGTTGGTACTTGTGTCCTCTCTGATCTTTTGAAGGATAACAGCTAATCTTTCACCATCCCTGTCTGTTCTCTGGGAGTTGAGATCTAATCCTTCACACTCCCTCTTGACCTGGAAGCCTGCGAGAGAGAGTTTGTGATGTTTGTACTGGCAAGTCAGTGTTAACAAGGCTATGTGGGCAGCCAATAGTTGCCAACATTTCAGTGTGTGTGTGTGTCTTGAATATACAAATGTCATGATAAACAATCTGTACTTATCACAGTATATGTGATTTCTTCACAAGGAACTTATTTTTCTTAAAAACAAGACTGCAGTAAATCTCATATATATCATATATAAAACTGATCACAGTGTCTCAAAAACATCAAAAGACTCATATGATGGATTCTCTGGTTTTATGCGACATTAACCATAAAGCCAGTGTTAGCCATTAATACTTCTTTGATTCGATTTGTCTTTGGTATATTTTACGATAGACATTTGTCTGTTTTGGGTTAAATACAGATAATGAAAGAATAGGAAAAAAAGAACAATGAAAGAGTAAGAATAACCAAACACAACATGCTGGAACATGTTTCTTAAAAACACCATTTTAAGATGAATTTGCACTTATTTGACACTCACCAGTTTAACAATGACATCCCACCTTTTTGCCAGGACTGTGAGATGTCCTTACTCTGAGAGTTTGCTTACTCGAGCTTCTTGCTGACAGTGGTGGAGCTATGCTGTGGCTCTCTGCATGTATTCGCATGACTGAGAACGGAACGGTGGTTATTTGCTTTCTGACATCTGCTGAGTGACACTGGTTTACACTAATCTAAATCCCTTTTGATGTTGTTAGACGTGTCTCTGTACGTGCTTGTGAGTGTTTGCCCCTTTGAGATGGGAACAAATCTCTGAAGGACACCTGTTGTGTAATTCTCTTGCTCATCTGCCTCCTGGTGAGATCATTTAATGTCAGTGCATGAGAAGGGACTATGGTTATATTATTATTTAATGATGTCATTTTGTTTTAGAATAAGCTTAGGTTATTTACTTATACGTACTATGACATAGAGTGCTGTAGGAATGAGTCCAAAACCCTTTTTTTAAAACTTAAAACCCTTCGCACTTCCGGTTCCCCTGTCTCAAAGGGTGTTTTTGATGCCTGAGAATTTTGAAGTTGCTAACAAATGGTTAAACGAGACTACAGAGATTGTCTGGAACATTAAACATCAGCATGCTTAACAGGCTAATATACTAGCAGCCTTGTTGTGTTTTTACTCGCACTCTTGCAAACTATTCCAACTTAAACTTTCCAGCGTGTAGATTTAATTTGCAAATGCATCCATTCGGACAATATTAAAACCCACTACTGCATTAAGGATAGACAGAAATGGACCGCCTCAGTTACCTCTTTCCATCGCTTGCTGCTTTGGTTGTGTTTTTTAACTGCTCAAATGCTGAAGTAATAACTGTTTTGTTTTTGTCTCATGGGATGCTGATGAGTGAGGCTAGGTCGCCCTCACTAAAGCAGCTTTCTTTTAAGGTGGTTGAATATGTTTGTTGTATTACCTCCAGAAGAGCCCACTGTCTAACTTTGGCTTGGGAAATATTTGATATCCATTCCCATACCACTGATGTTGAGTTATTGGTTGGCACAAACCACTCATTTGCCATTCTAGCTGTAACTCAGGTTGCATTCTTTACAGTGTATCACCCAGGGAAGATCCACATGAATTTATTTGTCCAATCAGCATAGCCATCTAGTTGGCTACATCAGTATTGGTTTGTTCATGTAGCGCAGATCCACTAGTCAGTGAGGTTATGTGAAGTTTGGAAATTGAAGAGGACATTAAGTACAGCAATCTCTACGATTCACCTGAAGTAGATATGGATGCCCTCAAGATTGACCATGATCTAAAATTGCCAGATCGCCCACCCATACTTTGATACAACACAAAATTAAAAGTTAGAGTAGTGGGGCTGAGCAGTATGTGGTGGTTATATTGATTAAAGAGAACAGCGTGATATTAAAATCTGTTTCCCTGGCTCTATAACTTGAATGTCTTCTAAAGCACAGCTTTTTGCACTGTCCTTACAAGCTGAATTTAAGGGTATCCTATCATAACTCCTCATTAACACAGTCCTATGGTTCATCCATCTTATTTTAGGGAAATTTTCAAGTGATTGTACTGTAATGTGTCACCTCCTTATCTCATTAAACTTTAACAAATCGACCGCTGGTGCTGTTAACTATAGGCAGGGCAACAAAATCAATACAGTATAATGCAACAATAGAGTACTTCTCCTCATGATATTATATCAATGTGTTTAACAAGATTCTTTAAATATCTCCAGGTTGTCCATTGACAAAAGCTGCTCCATTGTCAAACAAGCATTCTGCTAATGGCAAAGACATGGTTCTTTCTCATAAAAGTGCTTCCAAGTCTAAAAGAGCTTGAATATCATTTAGCAATTTATTCATGTTGTGTTACATATGAGAACAATACACTTAGACATTTTATATATTTTATTATTGTAGGATTTAACTGCAGCTAAATGCAATCATAAATTAAAACCGTGTAATGCAATTTCTTGCCCACTGTATTGTAGAACAACATGAATGAATAGACTAGTTAATACAACCTACAATGATCGGAAAATTAATAGTCCATCTACTACCTCCCACCCACAAATATCATCATATGCTGCATCTATTTCTGTCCCCTGTTCAGCTGTGTGAGTGGGAAGGTACACATTCAATACACATCAGGTAGCCTTCTTATAATGTAAAAGGAGAAGTATGAATTGTATTAGAAATGGGTAAAGGGGTGTGCTGAAGGGAAAAGATTGGGCACTATCACTTCTGTATGTACACAATAGGTGTTTTACAATATGCATGCATGTGCTAAAGCCCAACTGACTGAGATATGTTACATCTATAGCTGCACAAAACATGCAGAATACTGAGCCGTGAAGCCATCATACTGTCAGATAGTGTGGAACAAGTATTTTTTTCTTCAGGAACACTTTCTTTTTCTTTGGGTGTTTACTCTTACTATTGGTTAAACCAATCAGACCACAATCTCCTCCAATCATGCTGTTGCTGTCCAACATTAAATCTGATCCCCCTCTCTGCTGCCGTTAGCTGGCCCCCCCATTCATCTCCAGTTCGTCATATCCAGTGGCCAAGTGGAGCTCTTCAGAAGTCCATTCCTCATCATATCCAAAGCCATTCTCTTCATCCCTTTACCACCATCAGTGTCCTATACTAATCACAGTTTCACCAACCCCTTCAAATATGATGACGTCACAATGGGGTCTAATCGCCAAAGACTGCACACTTCTCATCTCTACTGTTCACATGTCAATTAAATACATCCATTCAAAAATAAAGTCTCATTGAAATCCCAGTAAAAGACTAAAACCAACAATGAATCCATCATATTAACAATTTCCATTTTTCCAAAAACTCTTAATAAGACTGACAATAAGAAATTTGCTAACAGATCACCAAAGTTAATATAATTTATCCTGAGGACGACATGAATTTAATTTAGTGGCAATCCAACCAATTGTCGAAGGGGCATTTCCATTCTGAACCAAAAAAGTGAATCTCATAGTGGCACCAGATGAAAAGTATGGGGGATTAATCCTCTTGACACCGTTGATATCTGTATCCAATTTCAGAATCAGAATCAGAATCAGAATTATGTTTATAGCCAAGTAATTTTTTACACCTACGAGGAATGTGTCCTGGTGCAATTGGTGCATGAAATATACAAATACAAATATACAAATATACAAATCACACAAAAATCACACAGAAAAATAAAGTATTTTCAAAATATAAATAAATAAAGATAAGAAAAATAAGAAAAGAAAACTGTGCAGAAGACGGGAGTGCATTATGTAATGCATACTGTATATACAGGGTGGGTATAAGAGTCAGACAGGGTGGGTATAAGAGTCAGAAGAGTTCATGGCAACCCATCTTTAAACACACACACAAGCCACACTGTTGCACTGGCTGACACGTTCCTTCATTGCCATGAACATGGCTGCTGTAGTTTATTTGAGTCAAGTATATTAAGGAGCATATTTAAAAGCCTATTAAAACTATATATGTATTATATAAGTTTAAAGATTCACTTCTTCAGTGGAAAGAAATGTGCGTAGGACTTGCGAGCTACAAAGGAAAGTTGGACAGTTTTTAGTCTTTTCATGTGACTTGCTGACAGTAAAAGTTATACACAGAATAACACTGGCTTTATCTTTAAAGGGTATATATTTCTTCTCTCACTTGTGTTTTTCTTTTAACATTTCCTTTTTTTTTTTTACTTTTCTGCTCAGCTACCAACTCTCTTACTGGTTTGTCTCTTCCTATTTCCCTTGTCAGAGCCGGTCTCTGGCCTACCTATCGTCTGTCTACCTTTCTCTTATAAGTGCACACACACACACACACACACACACACACACACACACACACACACACTCCCATGCAGG